ATGATTTTTGACAAAGATGCCAAGACAATTCAGTGGCGGAAAGAACAGTCTCATCAGCAAATGATATCAGGACAACAGACTATCTACACACAAAAGAATTAATTTGGACCCTTATCTCACATCATATACAAAAATTAATATAAAATGTATCATAGACCTAAATATAAGAGCTAACACAATAAAACTCTTAGAAAAAGACACAGGGGTAAATCTTCATGACCTTAGATTTAGTGATGGATTCTAGGTATGATGCTGAAGCATGAGCAGCAAAAGAAAAAGGACATAAATTGTACTTCATAAAAATTAAAAACTTTTGTGCATCAAAGGACATTATCAGGAAAGTGAAAAGGTAAACCACAGAATGAGAGAAAATATTTGCAAATTATGTATCTGATAAGGGTCAGTATCTAGAATATATAAAGAGCTCTTATAACTCAACAACAAAATGACAGAAACGCTGTCTTTGTCCATTCAGGGTGCTATAACACAATACAGTTGATTAGGGGGCATATAAACAAAAAAACAATTGATTTCACATAGTTCTGAAGACTGAGAAGACCAAGATCAGCAGATTGACGTCTGGTGAGAGCCCGCTTCCTGGTTCATAGACCACCTCGTCCTCACATGGTCGAAGAGTTCAATTATCTCTCTGGGGTCTCTTTTAAGAGTACTAATCCCATTCGTGAGGGCTCTACTCTTATGACCTAATCATCTCTCAGAGTCTCCACCTCCATTACCATCACGTTAAAGTTTAGAATTTCAACATATGATGGGGGGTGTGTGACCCAAATATTCAGCCTATAGCACAACACAATTTAAAAATGGGCAAAGGACGGGGTGCATGGGTGGCTCAGTTGGTTGATTCTTGATTTCAGCTCAGGTCGTGATCTCAGGGTCATGAGATGGAGCCCTGCATCTGGTTCCATGCTGAGTGTGGGAGCCTGCTTAAGATTCTCTCTCTCCCTCTCCTTCTGCCCCTCCCCCCCACTCACATGTGCTCTTTCTCTGTCTCTAAAAAAAAAAAAAATTTAAAAAATGGGCAAATAACTTGAATAGACATTTCCCCAAAAGAATATACAAATGACTACCAAGTACATGAACAGATGTTCAGCATAATTAGCTATTAAGGAAATGCAAAGCAAAACCACAATGAGATACCACTTCATACCCACTAGGATGTCTATAGTAAAAAAAAAAAAAAAAAAGGAAAAAAAAGTGTTACCAAGGATGTAGAAAAATTGAAATTTTCATACACTGCTGGTGACAATATAAAATGGTGCAGCTGCTTTGGAAAACAAACCATCAGCTCTCAATGAATTACACATAGAATTATCAGAAAACCCAGCAATCCAATCCTGGTTATATACCCCGAAGATCTGAAAATGCATGTCTGCACAAAGATTTGCATGGAGATGTCCAATGCAGTATTACTTATGATAAAGACAAAGTGAACATAATCCAAATATCCATCAGCTGATGAATGGATAAACCAAATGTGGCATATCAATCGGATACATTGTTGCAATATTATTACATTACATTACATTACAATATTATTGCAGTGGAATGTTATTCAGCAACACATATGAATGAAGTGCACACTACAACATGGGTGAATCTCAAATACATTACACTAAATAAAAGACACCAGACACAAAAGGCCACACACACGATTCAATTTATATGAAATACCCAGAAAAGGAAAAGGAAATCAGTACCGAAAGAAAGATTAGTTGGGCCAGGAGGGGGAATGGGATTGATTACAAATGGACACAAGGGATCTGTCTGGAAATGTTCTAAAACTGGGTCGTGGCAAGGGTGGTGGAACAACTCACTAAAAACCATTGACTTGTGCACGTTCAGTGGCTGCCATTTATGCTATGCAAATTATACCTTTAATAACGCTGTTAAAATAAAAATAAAAAAGAGGAAATGAGTTGAAGGAGGGGTTCTTTCAATTATTTTTTTCCCAGTAGGTCTTTGGCTGAAATGCAAATTTAACCACTTCCTCCCCATTGACCAGCTCTGAATACTAGTGGGGCCTGGGGGGTGTCGAGAGATCTTATCACACCCTCCTTCCGGGACCTTGGGGGCCACGCCTGCGAGCCATGCCCAGACCCAAAGAGCCCCCTCAAGGGACCCTTCTCTCAACACAGATCTGTTTCTGAGGGGACTCATGGTCACCCCCATGGACATGGCAGCTCTTTAGTTTCTACCTCCAAAAGTATTTACTTTTTAAACACAAAGGGTTGAGTGGCCCCAACCACTCCCCAAGTTAGGGCCTGAGCACTCTCTTGAAAATGTACATTGGATTAAGCACTCCTCTGATGAAAACCTCAGATGATTTCCAATATCCCTTGGAACCAAATCTAGTTTCCTTGCTGTCCTGTGGGGTCCCACACGGTGTGTGTGTGCGCACCTCCTTGTATTCCTTTGCTTGATCGCTCTGTTCCACAGTACCACGTCCAGGGTCCTGGACCCAGCCCCCTTCCTTCCTGCCTCGGGGCCTTTGTACTTACAGTGCCTTCTGCCTAAAATGTTTCCACGATGGCTAGGTCCTTTCTGTCATCCAGCGTGCCCTACCTGTTCCTGCCTTGACCTCTCATCGGTTTTCTAGGACACTTAGTACCCTTTGCAATTCGTTTGCCCATTACTTCTTTTTGTCTGTCTCTCTCCATCAGAATACAGGCCGCCCGAGGGCTGTCACTTGTGTATATTTCTGTGGGGTACCCCCAGTACATAGCCAAGGGCTTGCTCAGTATTGGTGGGCAGAAGGCAGGGAGGGGAGAGTTGCTGGCCTGCTAGGCGGGTGGATAGAGGGTGGATGAGTGGATAGGTAGGGGAATGGGTGGGTGGAGGGAATGGTAAGGAGGCAGGCAGGCACGTGGAAGGGAGGCAGGAGGGATCGAATATCCTCGGGTTAACATACATCCAAAAGCAGTGTGGTGAGCGATCAAGAATATGTGCTTGGGAGCCCAAAGTCTGAGTTCAAATCCCAACTCTGCCACTCACCAGCTGTGTGACCTTGGACAAGTCATTTGCCCTCTCTGAGCCTTACTTTCCTTCTCCGTAAAATAGGGATGAGGACGATGATGAGGTTTTTTAAAAAGATTTATTTATTTAGCTAGGCAGAGGGAGAGGGTGAGAGAATCTCAAGCAGACTCCATGCTTAGCACCCAATGTGGGACTCCATCCTATGACCCTGAGATCATGACCTGAGCCAAAACCAAAAGGCAGATGCTTAACCGACTGCGCCACCCAGGAGCACCCAGTGATGAGTTTTAAGCAAGATGATGTATCTTTAAAGGCCTTAAAAACCCTGGGACAGGGGCGCCCAGCTGGCTTACTTGGTGGAGCATGAGGCTCTTGATCTCAGGGTTGCGGGTTTGAGCCCCATGTTGGGTGTAGAGATTACTTAAAAAATAAAATAAAATTTTTTAAAAAAGAAAACAATCCTGACACAGAGTAATCTCTCAGCAAATATTAGCTCCATTGTACTTTTCCTTTTCTTGATCATTTAACCACTCAGATTCCTCTGCACGGTATCATAAAACTTACCCTGAAGATCAAGAGAAAGAAAAGACAAACAAAAGCTGGCTTCCTCCCAACATTGGTTCTCCAGAGAACATGAGATATTTCAGCAGTGGGGAAGAGAATTTCTATAGGGCAAACATCCTTCAAACCAGCCACAGGGGAATTTGTACCCAGTTCCTCAAAAACAGCTAGAAAAAAGAAAAAAATAGAAGAAATAAGTAGCAAGATGCTTTCTCTTTTTCTTTGGAGCGGTCATGTGGGTTAGCTGCAAATTGCTTCCCAAAAATGAGTCAGCTGGGGAGAGATGCCATGTGCATTTGAGCCAGCCTGTATCATCATCCCAACAGCACAAAGTAGCCCCCAGGCCCCTTGGTAACATTTTGTCCAGGTTTGGACCCATTTTCACAGCCTGGTGCAGGCTTAGGAATGAGATACACCCAGGATCAAATCTCTACATGTCACTTCTTAGCTTGAAGTCACTTCTTAGCCTCTTAGTGATGTTTCACTTCTCTGAGCCTTGTTTTCTCCATCTGTAAAATGGGAATAGTCTTGTTTGCCTCACAGGGTTTGTGGGATAAAATGAGATCTGTAGGTGCCTAAAAAATGCAAGATCATAACAGTAGTGATGGTAGTTAACTTCTCTTACTCTCTCTCTGAGCCTGCTGGGCATGAGTTCGCTGAATTTTCTCTCCTGATTTCTTAAACATCTGCTGGAGAGAGACATCTGACCCTTTCATGGGCCCCTCTGGCTTGTGAGCAAGATGAAAACTCTCTTGAGAATGTCTTTTCTCATGTGCTCATAATGGCTGCCCTCTCCCCTTGGCTAGGCATCCCCGCTTGACAGATGGGCAAAAAGAGGCATTCAGAGAGCTGATGGGAGGTGCCGGAGGGACTGTCTTCTCAAGGGCATGGACACAGGGTCTTGCTCCCTGCAGCCCTGGAGCAGGAAGCTAGATTCAAAGGAAATGGGGTCAGAGGAGTCTGGGAGGGGGTTCCGAACTCAGACCTCTCCTGGGTCAGGCAGGCAGTGTGCCTGCGTGAAGCGTGGGACCTTGGCGGGCCTCTGCCCTGGGCCCTCCGTCTTCTCTCTGAGCTGAGAGTTGGACCCTGAGGACCGCCGGGGCCCCCCTGGGTCCACTTACACCACCCCTGCACCCCTCTGAGCCTTGGCATGCACATCTGCGGGAAGCGGTGGCTCGCAGGCCCTGCCTGCCTCTCTCTCCTTGGTCATGACCCTGAGGCCTGGGGGGATGATGTCAGCCATCCGCAAGAGGCCATATCACCCAGGTGGCCCCAAATGTCTTCCTAGCGGGTGACCTTTAGTGATCGGAGGGCTCTGTCCTGGGGCCCGGTCCCGTCCCACAGCTTTCTCACTCGGCCGGGGAGGGGCCAGCGGCTGTGTGGGCGGGGCCTGCGGGGAGCTGCTCACCACATCCTCCTCTTCCTCCATACCCTGCACACGCGGCCGCGGGGCAGCCACACTCTGACAGACCCACTGGTGCCTCTCTGCCGAGTGACCCACGGGCTCGGGGTCCGACTGTTTGCCGGCTCCTCCCCGAGCGTGACTGACAGCCACACGGCCGTCTGTCTGCCTGCCTGCCTGTCTGTCTCTCTGGGTGTCTGCCTGGCAGGCCACCTGCTGGTTGGCTTGACTTCCCCTGTCTGTCTGTCTGTCTGCCTGCCTGCCTGCCTGCCTGCCTGACCAGCCCTTGTGGCCGTGTGTCCCCTCCCTGGCGCAGCCGAATGGTCCCTTACCCCAGCCTCTGCCTTCTGTCTGCGCGTGGCCTTGCTGGGATGTGACCAACCGTTGCCTTCCCACCCCCCACCCCCCCAGCTGGCTCCCTCTGTGTGGCCCGCCTGCCTGGAGCCCGGCTGCCATCCATTGGGGTGACAGGTCGTATGCTTGTCTGGCGGGTGACTGGGGCAGGCTGTGGGTCCCCACCCCCTAGCCCTGCCGGTTCCTTCTCTCATCCCCCACCCCCACGCTGAGCCTAGCTGCCGCCCCCTGGTAGCCCACTGGATTGCCCCGAGCACACAAGGGATTTCTGAGGGAGAAGCTGGAACAGCAGGTAACTCGGCTCCAGCCACTGTTCTCCGCGGGGGCCTGGCCCCTTCTCTGCCCGAGGTGGGAGGACACGGAGGGGTTTCGCGCCCTTAGCATAGCTGGGACAGTGAGACAAGCAGAGCTGGGGCTGGGGTCTCCTCTTCAGCCCAGCGCAGGATGACCACAGGATCCTTCTGTGGGTCTGCAGGGGGCCTGGAGGCAGGGCCATGGCTGAGAGACCCCCTGAGCTGTCTGTGGAAACCAGCCTCCAAAAGGCAGGTGGTGGGGAAAGAAAGCTGGTGGTCCCAGACCAGACCCGATGCCTCAGTCACCGTGGTTCTGGGCAGCTGAGCAGGGCAGAGTGGGCAGGGGTGAGACGATGAGATGGTGTGGCACTTCTAGGGGGCCCAGTTTTGGGGGGAGGGGCAGAGATTTTGTGCCGGGTCCCATGTGTTAGCTTCTTTATGTCATCTAACTCCTCAAAACGGGTTGGTGTACCCATTTCACGGAGAAAGAATGGGGGCCGGCTCTGAGAGGTAGAGTGATTTTCCCAAGGTGACTCACCAGTGCGTAGCAGGGTGGGCAGGCGACTCGGAGGCTGGCCCTGTCCTCCACACTGTCTCTTCCTCACGAGAGCCCAGGGGATGGGCCCACGGAGGAGAGGGGAGCAAGGGGTCAGGGGGAGGCTGAGCCTGGAAGCATGGGTTGAATTTTGACGTGTGGAAAGGAGGGGAAGGAAGGAGCCGGCAGACACTTTCCTGGCAGAGCAGCTGGGTGAGTAAAGGCCTCCGGTGGGAACATTGGACCCGTGGAAGGAATGGCCAGTGTTGCCCAGTGGGAGCAGCGGACCCAGGGCAGGGGGCATTACAAAGTCAGGGGCTGCTCCTGGGAAGACATCTGCATTCCCCTGGGGGAAAGCGTGGGGGTTTTAGAAGCACATGGTGGAGTGGGGAAAACCTGGCAGGTTCAAAAGTCAGCCATGCGACTCCCTAGCTGGGGGGATGTGGGCAAGTCTCTGGGCTTCATCCAGCCTCGTGGAGGCTCAGTTTTCTCATCTCTAAAATGGGAATGAAGGCAGTTCCATCTTCATGGGGCTAGTTGTGACGATTGGAGGGCATAAAAATATGAAAGTTGCAGGTCTCCCACGAAAGCAGCTTGTAACCACAAGGAACCTGGAGCCCATGGCGAGAAGGGCCAGTCTCCAAGAGCAGAAGAGGGTGCACGGACACATTCGAGAATCTGCAGTCCTCCCTCCTGCAGCCTCCATGGTTCTGGTCCTCCCCGCACCAGGGCTCAGTACGCTGCTGACACCTGAGGGTCTCCCACCATCCTTACAACATCAGCTGAGGCTGAGGGCCTCATTCAGCCCATTTCACAGATGAGGAGATTGAGGATCCCAGATCACCTGTGCCCACGAGATGCAGAGCTGGGTTTGGACCCCCAGTCAGCTTGATGGCAGGGCCATACCCGCTGGGCAGGGTAGCATAAAAGCAAGACTCATCGTCTTGAGGGCCATTGCCTGCTCCCTGTGGTGGCCTCAGCAGAGTTCTACCCACTCCACACCTGGCAGGGTGTCTGGATCCTCACCACCCCACAGGGGAGGGAACTAAGAGCCCTCATGTTAGAAGAACCAAATCCAGGGCCAGGAGAGGTGGGGTGAACAAGACAAAGGCTGAGCCCTGGGCTCCCACCTGCCCAGTGAGGGGTGGGGGTGAGGGTTGGAGACCATAGGCTTGTGGGCAGTGGGTGGGGGCAGATGGAGGACGTGGAAGGGGGGAAGACCACCTCTCTCTCCCTGGCGCCTGATAAATGAATGAATGAAAGGAAGGAGGCATCCGTGATTCCAGGGAGGAGAGCCAGTGCCTTGGGAATCCCCACAGGCAGGAACGATGGCTGGGAGGTCTCTGTGGTCGGGTGTGGGGCGTGGGACCCGGCGTACCAACACACGGCCGATGGTGATTTGGGGCTTTGGAGTCAGCCAGGACGGGATGGAGACCCAGCTCCACCCCATGGTACCTGTGTGACCTTGAGTAAGCCGCGCAAACTCCCTGAGCCTCGCTTTCCCCGTCTGTAACATCCATTTCGGGTGTGTTGGGAGGTTTTATTCTACCCGTGTTTTGGGGGGTAACTGCTGTGCAGCAGGTGCTGTCCCAGGTCCTGGGGATTCAGTGGCGCAGACAGACAGGGCCAGCGCCATGAGGAGGGGAAGCAGGCTTAGCCCTGGCTCACAATTATGGTTTACATGAAGTGTTGTTGGTAACAGTCATCTTGTTATTTGCTAGAACACAGGGCATGGTGTCTGGCTCACCCTAAGCCCTCAGGAAATGATAGCTCATATGGTGATTCTGCTCTCTCTTTCACAGCTGGGGAAACTGAGGCTCAGAGAAAGGTAGGGTTTTCAGGGTCACCCAGGGAGTCTGTCACAAGCAGAGGGAAAGCAGCTGTGAAGACAGGAGGAAAAAACACTTCAAGGAGGAGGGTCTTCTGCCCCCCCAACCCCTTCCTCCCCTGTCTTTGCCCTCTAGTACACCCTGAAATGTGGGGGTGGGGCCGGGGGGAGCAGAGAGGGGCCCCACCCCCACCCATGGCTCACAGGTGTGACCGCCCCCACTCCTTGCCCTGGCGCCTGGCCAAAGGGACTTTTTACGACAGCTCATATGCAAGATCTGAGTAAACCTGGAACTTCTGAAACATCCTGAGAATATTCCCCAGGGTGCAGGCAGGGGCCCTGCTGATGCCCCCCAATGGCTGGGACACTTGCATCCTGCTGGTCCCCCTCACCCAGCCCCCAGGAGGGGTCCGGCCACCCGAATGGTCCCCAGGGCAAGCACACCAACCTGGCTCCCTGCTCAGGCCCTGGTGGTTCCTTACTGTGTGACCGTAGGCAAGGCGCTGGGCCCCTCTGGGCTTCTCCTTTCCTCATCTGCCAAGAGGGCTTGAGCATGTAGATTGGCACCAGGGCCTGCAGAGCTTCTCCAGTATGAATCCATAACACTCCGCCCACTTTGGCCAGGCTGGTGGGGTCCTGCTGGGTGGGGGAGGGGGAATAGAGGGCAGGCCGCCAGCCCTGTCCCAACCCCCCACCTCCAGGCCGGGCCGCAAGCATCCCTTCTTTCTCTGCCTTCCAACCAGCCCGTCCTGGTCTGGGGGAGAGGGGGCTGGAGGGAGGGGTGGCTAGAGGAGCTGAGAGGGGTTGCAAAGTCTGGGCGAGGTTGCCCAGCACGGTGGAGATTGCAGGGCGGGTAAAGAATGCACAGGCAGGGGGCGGTTGCTGGGAGCAGGGCATGCTTCTTGGCTAGGGGAGGTTGCACAGGCTGGGAGAAATCCCAGTAGGGAAGGCTTGTTCGGGCCAGGAGAGGCTTCGTGCGTGGACAAGGATCCCAGCCCGGCTGGGAGGGAGCGACAGATAGACAGGTGTCACAGGCTGAGGTTGGGTTAGGACCTTCCCCTCATGTTCAGCTCCTACTGACTAAGCTTACCCCAGGGTCCTGGCACACCTGACCTCAGACACCCACAACCCAGTCCTTGCCACTGGCAAAATAAAAAACACATGTAAGAGGCAAGTAATGTTCCCCACACACCTGCAGTGTGCCTGCCTCTCACCCCCTCGGCCAGGCCAGGGCACTGCCCCATTCTATAGGCGACGAAAACTGAGACCCAAACAAAAGGAGAGGTACAGCTAAGGGTCCACTATGGGTTAGTGACAGAGCCTCCTTTCTGGTCGAGGGCTACCAATCTGATTCTTCCTCAGCCTGAGCGCTCTGCTTGGCTAAGTTTCTGTGCGACCCTGGGAAACCCACTGTCCCTCTCTGAAAGTTCCTTGTTACTAATCTGATAATAGCAGGCACGATTGCTCAGACCCTGGGAGCTGAAGGTGTTGCTTGGGGTGGAGGGAAATTCCTGGCACTGTGTGTGATGGAGCTGATGGGGAAACTGAGGTCTCTCGTGGGGGCCGCCTGTGGGCCTGCTCCGTGTATGACTGGACACAGCAATTTTTTTTTTAAGATTTTATTTATTTATTCTGAGAGAGAGAGAACAAGCAGTGGGGAGGGGCAGAGGGGGAAAGAGAGAGAGAGAGAAGCAAACTCCCTGCTGAGCAGGGAGCCCGATGTGGAGCTCAATCCCAGGACCCTGGGACCATGACCTGAGCTGAAGGCAGACGCTTAACCGACTGAGCCACCCAGGTGACCCAGGACACAGCAATTCTTAGCCTTGTTTGTTCATTCACCATTCCCCCAGCTACTTGTTGAGGACCTACAGTGCTCCAGGGCCCACTCCACACACTAGGGACACTTTCTTTTGTGAATGAAACTGACAAATTTCCCAGCCCCTGGGAGCTTATGCTCCATGATAAACAAAAACAGAAACACTTACTAAACTAATTCTAATGTCACAACTGTGTGAAAGGAAACAAAGAGATGTGTGGCCCAGAGAATCGCAGGGGACATGTGGTGATTGCCTCTTTGAGGAGGCGACATAAACGTTGAAACCAGGGGATGAGAAAGCAAAGAAGCACGAGGAAAAATGTTCTAGACTGAGGGAATGGCATGTGTAAAGGCCCTGCGGTGGAGGGGGAAGATGGAGCCCTGGAACTTTTATCCTTATCAAGTAGGTCAAGATCCTCAGTGCACCAAATTTAAGAGAGAGGAGTCAAAAAGAGTAACATCGACTTTTGGAGTGTATAGTCTGCATGGGTTTTAATGTTGAGGGTAGACTTCAAAATCCATTATGATCGAAAGCATTCCCTTTCATTTAGTCACTCATGTAACAGAAGCTTTGAGCATCTACTGGGTGTCAGGTGCTGGTTAACCACTGGCGATTCAGCAGTAACCAAGAGACACACGGTCCCCGCCAGGCCATTGCTCAGAATGTCGCTGAAAACACCCTGAGCAGTGTGCTCTGGTGGAAGGCTGGACCTGAGGAAAGAGTGACTCATACTCTTTGGAGAGGTTGAAGACTGACAGAGGAGATGTCATTCGAACTGGATTTTGAAGACTGAGTGGGAGGCTGGCAGTCCACTGCAGA